CATCTGCACTGTCTCATTTAGACTTGCACATTGTCCTAGTGACAGCCACAGCCATTCTTACAGCAGGATGCAAGATGCCCTCAACTTTGGTGGATGCAACTGAGGGAACCAGTATCAGAAGAACAGCTCTGCAGTGGTCTTTATGTACTGCTGCCCTCTGTGTGGGCTCACTCATGAGCACCCACACTCCAGGCACCTTATCTATGGATGTGGATATCCATCACTTACAGAGTTCTTTGAAAGTCAGTGAAAAATATCTGTGTTGCATTGCAGATTTAAACAGTGCTACAAATAGCATCAATCAAGCACAAGAAGGTGGAAAATGGACAACTTGCAGCCTTCTCCACTCATAAGAAACACGGGAAGAAGAATAACTCTGCACTACCTTGAATCCCAGATCCTCCTCCAGAGCTTCAACAGAAAGAGAATGCAGGGCAGCTCCCACAGCTTCTGTGGATGAAGCTCCTTCCAACCTGCCTCCAACCTCTTTTTTAATCCATTGTCCTGGTTTGTACCCAGTCAGGCAACTCATTCACTCACTCCCCCCCTTCTTGCCCTCCCCTTACTCCTGGAGGGACGGAGAGGAGAATCAAAAGAATGCAACTCCCATGGATTGAGATAAGAACAGTTTAGTAACTAAGGTATAACACAAATCACTACTGCTACCACCAATAATAATAATGATAAAGGAAATAACAAGGGAAGAGAACACAACACCTCAGCACCAGCCAACTGATAACTCGCCCCCCCAGCCTGACCAAGCACCAACCCATACCTCCTCCAACCCCCCAGTCCCTAGCCCTTCTGGGTAACTCTCAGTTACCTCCTGGGCATGACGTGCTGTGGTGTGGAATACCTCTTTGGTCAGTTTGGGTCAGGTGTCCTGTCTCTGCTTCCTCACGGGTTCCCCTCCTCCCTGGCAGAGCATGAGGCTCACAAGGCCCTTGGCCAAACCAAAACATCAGCTCTGTTTCCAGGCCAAAAGTCAAAACACTGCACTGCACCAGCTACCAAGAAGGAGAAAAATGACTGCTACTACTGAACCCAGGACATCCATGCCCACAGTACAAGCACAGGAGGCAGCATCAGTGCCTCACAGGCTGTAATCATTTATTGCCCACACCTTTACAGGGAGGAATGAGAGTGAGCTCTGTAAAGAGGAAGGCAGAGGAGTGGAGAAAACGTAGCTGCAATGCTACCCCAGGTGCTCTCTCAACTGTAACTCATACTATAAGGAAGTACCTGAAAATCAGTACTGATGTTCCTAGGAAGGGGAAACAAAGGGAAGGAGTGTATCTGGTTTGCAGCTTGGCACTGTCAGCTTCGAGGGCCTCACTGGCTGTTTTTTCCACCTTGCTTCTGGCAGCAGGAGCATGCCAGTGCTTTGGTCCTACCCCTGGTGCATGCAGTTTCCTGCTCCTTGTTTCAGCTCCCAGAGCATTGCAGACCCCCTGCGCTTTCCCCTGGGTTCTGGCCACTTCCTGATTTCTCCCTTTGCCCACCACATCCTGCCCATGGATGATGGCTGCTTCCCATCAGGCGGTGCAGTCTCCCTTCTCAGATTGCTCTCCTGCCATAAACACAGTCAAATCCAAATAGAAATGGACAAGGAGAAAATGCATGATTGCTAGCCCAAGCTCAATAAGAGGATACTATTTCCCCCCTCTCCCCACCATTTCCAGCATAAGGGGTTCCTAAAGAATCTGTAATTAACCTCCAAAAGCTGTTTGAAGTCACATATCCAAATGCTGCTTGAAATCATGGACCGACAGGTACCCAGGCCATGCTATTCACCTCAGCAGGCGGATATAGTTCTGCCTACCCTGATGCAGCTGCAGCCACATTCCTAACAGACCTGACACAGCAGAGGCAGCCTCGCCACCTCCCTTTATTAGCAAACGACAGTTTGTTCCCAGCTCTGGCAAGGCCCTTGCTGTTCCCCTGGCTCACCTACCTCCATCTCTAAATGCTGAGATGAGTGGCTCCCCTCTGACTGTGCTTTGAAATGAGTGCTGTCTTGTCAGGTTTTCACAAGAAATGACCAAACTTCTTTTAAAATGTCAGGTATTAAGGAAAAATAAGCCTGCAGTTAAAGACAAAGCACTTAGGAACTGAGATTTCTGAAACCACGATTTTCATGAGGAGGGATACAAAAATGCCCGAAACTATAATCCTAACAGATTACCTGCTACAGGCTTGCATTTTACCAGGGAAGTTTCTAAAGCGGTTCTCACAGAAAGAACTTGATGGGAATGTTATTAAACAGGGATCCTCCTCCTCGCCTCTGTTTAGCTAAGAGCAAAGGAAACAATGGCATGATGTTTCCCACTGTTTTGACACTTAAGAGCGTTCTGGAGGCTGCTTACATTTAGCACACACTTTTAGGTTGGAAACTGTAACTCCCCCATTCCTGCAGAACTACAGTTCACCATTACGGGTTTGAGATGCCACCAACACCACTTCTGCTTCTTTCCTTCTTCTCAGGTTTGTGTTACATTATTCACCTTCCAGGGGCTTTCTACAATCCCTCCCAGGTGTAAATTGTTCCAGAAATGATCTTTGGTTTACATGCAGGATCATGGCCTCAGATCCAGTGTAACACAGCCACCCACTTGCATGTGTAAATATTACCAAGTGCAAGATTAATCAAGAGGAGGGTGGAAGCAAACTGATTTTCCCAACAACTTAAACTTGGGTATTTTTCCATTCTGCACAGAAGAGAAAGAGATGGAGAAAAAACAAAACCAACCAGACCTCAGCACACAGAAACCAAATTACACTTCTGAATATTCTCCCCAAATGGACCGTACCAGTGAGATGGCTCATTAGATCCAGCCAGGATCTCTTTGAACATGAGCAGAACCTTGGCATGTCTCTGCTCCTGGGCAGATCTCAACGGGGGGTGTGTTTCAGCATTTCCTTGACAATGAAGCTTCAACCAAAACTATTTCAGTCTGGTCAATGTATTTAGACCAAAGATTAGTTTACACATCAGCAACAGCAACACTAGAGCCTTCCCTACCATTTAGTTTTACTAACAAGCTGAAGCTCCCACCAAAATATGCAAGGAGAGATTTACTTCACATACCCAGTCACTTATTTAAGTTGAAATCACAGTCAAAATTTGGCAAGAGCAAGTCTGGAAAGAAACAGACGTGACTGACTGTTTAAGCACATGACTGAGTATACATCCATGTGGCTGGAAGAGCCGATGTGTCTCACGGTAATGAGATAAAGTTTAGACATTTAGGTGCACCATTAGCTTTTCCCATGCTCAATTCTCAGTTCTGTAGGCTCAGTCTTACCTTCTGATCCAGGTCTGGCACAGCTAAATGCACCGTATGCACTCCTCTCACACCAGCCACCGTGCTGCTGCTCTGCATTTTGCTTTGGACTGTCACCCTGTACAGAACATCTACCCACCAGACTCTGGAACCAGAGAAGCATTACAAAGCTTGGTCTTCCAGAACCGAAGCCAAGATTTTTCAGTAAGCCCTTTCACATACAAATACAAACATTTGGCTCCTGTGGATGAATATAGCAAGCACAAAGCTGAGTTATGGAGTGTGTTTTATTTTATGACGATTGCCAGAGGGGTCATTCTCTGATGTTAACAGGGTCCCTATGAATGGGAAAGCACTTCCTGCACACCGTGATGGATGTTCATCCAAAGAAAGCTGCTGGACACTGCTGTTGTTCAGCTACTATGTGCTCATCAGGAGGCCACAGAAACTACCAAAGAGACCACAGATTTCTTAGCCAGCATTTTCAAAAGTCAACTGAGGTTTTAAAGCTATAAAAAGCTACAGGAAAAGAATGGAGTTATCACAAGAATTTCATATTAGTTCCATAAGTAATGGAAAACTAAACTTTATGGCTTGTTACACATTAAAGCATCTCATTTATAGTGCATTGTATTTCACAGAAGGCAGCAACATTCCTGCCAGTGTTAGGCCAAACTGGGGGGGACCATCATGGAAGGATTTGATCCTGCCAACATAAGAATGTATCTTCAGCTTCTTGGAGGAGAAATGGGAAGAAAAGTGCTCTCAGGCACAGGCGCACGCTGAGCAGATAGACGTAGGGATCCAAACACAGAAGGAAGCTAAACCAAACACTCCTCTGTGATGCACATGGGTCACTCAGTTTGGCTGACTTAAGATGTACCCAAATCATAGGTACACAGTTCAAAGCCTGCAGGCTGGGGAAGCCCACATGTTCTCCTCGAATGTGCTAAAAGAAAATGACTTAAAATGATGTTTTTTTTAATTATTAAAACTTAAGTATGTTGATTTTTGTTTGCTTTTGATTTGGTTTTAAATCACACTTTCCACTGGTATGGAAAAATAACTTCTGGAACAAGCTTACCTCAGTTTGCCAGTTTTCTGATATTCTTTGTTACAGCAAGTAGGTATAAATGAGCTTTGGCTAAAAGGTAAACCTGCACAAAGTGTCTTTTTATCAGACTAATTTGCTATGATCTACAATTTTGCTCACACACATGAAAAAGGCTTCTGGAGTACTTGGGTTTAACTACTTGCAAAGTGGTATCAGCTATAGCAAAGTTTATCAGGAACACAACTCACACTGCACAAATATTTTAAAAAGTGGAAGTTTATGTGTCTTTCCATGGCTCAAATAGCAAATAAAATAAGTACCTGGTATTTCCTAGTGCCTATAAAGTCTCATTATAGCCTCCCAGACTGTAACTGTGTCTGTTACATGCCAATCGGGATCCATAATGCCACCAGCTCCAAAAAGAAACATGGAGCTCTGCAAGAGCTAATGATTAGAAAGCTATTAAAAACATATATACACACACACAGGTCTTTTATCCCAGCAGCTAAGTGATAGCCAAGTGGATTTCAAAGAATAGGGAATTTCTACTGTCTGTAATAGCTGGATGTGAACTGCAATAATGCCCCAAAACTGAAACATGCATGAGTTTTCATAACAAAAATGAAAAAAACAAACCAACCAACAACCAACCAACAATGAGACTTGGTTCTGATGCATTTAATTGACTGAATGTTCTCTATAGAGCAGCATGAAGATCCTGGTGTAGTACTGAACAACCTATGTAAGGAGACAACAGACAAGGTGAGGTTACTGCAAAAGAGAAGTTTCTGCAGCTCTCATGCTGCAACTGACAGCTCAGATTCTCCTGTCACTCTTCACATTCCTCTCCCACTATTCACGTTCCTCTGCCCCTCTTCACATTCCTCTGCCCCTATTCACAATCCTTTGCCCTCTTCACATTCCTCTGCTGCCTTCACAATCCTTTGCCCCTCTTTGCAATCCTTTGCCCCTCTTTGCATTCCTCTGCTCCTTTTCTCATTCCTCTGCCCCTTTTCACAATCCTCTGCTCCTATTCACAATCCTCTGCCACTCTTACTCCTCTGCCCCCTTAACATTCCTTCACCCCTCTTCACAATCCTTTGCCCCTCTTCACAATCCTTTGCCCCTGTTCTCCTTCCTCTGCCCCTCTTCACATTCACATGAAAAGTGCTCTCATGCCTGCCCAGAGCTGGTGTTGCACCCAAGGATTGCTGGAAAGTGGCAGCTGCTCCTGGGCAACAAGGATGGAGCCATTCCAAGCACAGGCTGCTCTGCACAAGCCAGAACCCCTGGGGAAATGGAGCCAAAGGAAGAGTAGTGCTCGCTCCCACTCCAAGCTTGCACTGGACAGTGGAGCCAGAAAGAGCCAAGGCAGGAGTGGTGCCCTGGAGGTGCGAGAGCACCAGCAAGAACCGAACCCAAAGGGAAGCCCTGACAAGGGGCTGTGCTCAACGGTACAGAGGACAAGCAGCAACCCCTGGGCCACCCCAGGTGTCTACAAAGCCTCCTCCAAATGTGAGCACGAGGGGCCACCTGAGTGGAGCAGGAGCAGCAGCCTTTGGGCCACAGCAGCCCAAAGGAGCCCTGTCAAGGAGCTGGCTCACTGCTGCAGAGGAGCATATTTTTAAAGATTTTATGGATGTTTCCCAGGGAAAGTACTGATTTCTGTTTCAAAGCTGAAGCTCTTTCAGCTTGGGCACCTTTTCGCTTTACAATGAAAACTTAGATTTCTCAGTGGAAATAGAGACTTGTACAAATAAAGTTTGTGAAAACTCAGCTTCCTATTTTAAACATGTACAATCAGGCCACACTGTGCAATGCCATTAGTCCCTAAGATAATCCCAGATGAATGTGCTCCCAACCCCAAGTCAACCAATTCTTTCGATAAAAATAACCTTCTGTGATGTCTGAGCAATCAGTCAAATTATACACCACTCGCATACAGCTCTGTAACAATATTGGTCTAGTGGTTCTGATACAACAGAGCTGCTTCATGGAACAGCAAATACTAACACGCTGCAATATGTAAGAAACACATAAATCGATATACTTTTGCAGGGAAAAATATTTTAAACTGTACCTTAGTGCAAATAAAAGGCAAAACCCCTCAAAGTCTGGAGGAAGATTCAGAGCTGCTTTTGTACAAGAGGGTTTTGTCCCCTCTTACTTAAGCCAGCTGGAGATCTGAATAAAGCTGTAGTTCCTTCTCCCACCTTATTCTGACCATTCTTTGAAATGTGCCTAGCTTGTTCCCGGAGCTTCTACTGAGACTGGGTCAAGCATCAGATGTTGCCATTATCTAAAAACTTCAGCTCCCAATCTCTCCTGTCATTTCCACACCCACTTTTCCCCTTGCAAATAATGCATGAATCATCATCAGAAATCACTCTCCGGTCCATTAACAAACTAAACAGACTCACAGCAGTACACACATGCCTATCATTACATCTGCCCTGATATTACAGGGATCAACGCTATAAAAAATACTTGCAGTGAGCAAATATTCATGTTGTATTTATTAGCACTTGCATTGCAGTACACACATTATGAAACAACTTCCCTGTGGTAGGAGGAAGCCAGCAAGGAAAACTGCTTTGCTGCTATATTAATAACTTACACTGCAATAATCCTGTGCTCTACACAGTCTCAGACTGGTTCACTGGACAAAAAATAAACTTAGATGGCTTTAAAAGGTTGTGTATTGGGTCAAAAGTGCCACAAATATTACAGCAAATCCCTGAATTAACACAAACATCATGTTGGTCCAAGTCTATCCAGAAACATATTCACCAGGGCTAGGCCAAGGGCCCTCTGCTGTGTCTGGCTAATTTAACAACAGGGCACTCTGCTTGGGAAAACCACTAATCCCCAAATGTAGTACTAAAGATGAGACCAAGGCTACAGAGACATTTATTCACCCAAGCATGAAAAAAGGCCTGTGTCTTCCTGAACCTCCACAGAGTTTCTACAGCGTCTTAAACATGACTTCAGGAGATAATTTTACAGGAAGTGACTCCTAACAGAATTTTCAGGACTCCAGTGATCTCTCTCCCTTATATCCTATCTTAGAAAACATGCCCGAGAAACAGGAAAACTGGAGTGAGGACGTGGGGAAGGCCGTAACAGTATTTACAGCAGTGACTTCCACTCAACCAGATGAAGATTGGCAAGGTGTTAGTAGAGGTGTGGAATAGATGTGAAAGCCTCAGATGTTTTGGACCATTAGGGAACACGATGGGACATAAATGAGAAGATTGTGGTCATTGTTTTTCACAACACAATGAAAAGTGAAGTTAATATCGAATTCACCCCAGAAAAGATGTCCACACTACTCAAGTTATGAGAGGAATAAGCCCTCTTAGGAGACTGAAGGAGATGTACATCACCCTTAGTCATGAACTTCCATCCAGTTCAGTGAAAGCAGAATTGCCTCTGAGGTGCAGGAATGATAAAGAGAAAACTCTGCTTTCGGTTATACCTAAGAAAAGGCTTGCAGAGGCACTGGTGGGAAGGCTGCTGAAAACAAAGGTGCTGCCTGGGAGTCAGGGAAACAGAATTTGCTCTCCATCACCTATACAAGGAGCATCTTTCCTACTACAACTCTCAGCCACCTTCAGCACTGCAGCTTTTTAACTGCAGTCCTACTAATTTGCACTTTTCTGCGTATCAGTGAGCCAGTTCTATTCAGAGATAAGAGCGGTGCTGCTGCTGAGAGCTCAGGTCAGGGCTTGAGCCCATCTCTATTACCTCACACAGAACTAAAAAACCCAAACAAAAGACAGAGAAGCTGTTCCATTTCATCACTCCACCACCACCCCATCAGCTTTCATCTGTTTGCTTGTTTGAAGATACAATCAATAATACATTCCAGGTGTATCCTGATTCAGAAGTACCTCCCGCAATACCACAAACCCATGGCAATCCCCCGCTTAAAACACCCTCAGCTTGACAGGTACCACGGGTGTTCTGACCTTGACAGGCTTCTGACCCTGACAGTGTCAGAGAGGCTGAGAGAGCTGGGCTGGTTCAGCCTGGAGAAGAGAAGGCTCCTTAAGGCGAGAGAGAGCTTAGAGCAGTTCCAGTGCCTAAAGGGGCTACAGGAAACCAGGAGAGGGGCTTTGGACAAGGGCCTATAGGGACAGGACAAGGGGAATGGCTTTAACCTGCCAAAGGGGAGATTGAGATGAGCTCTTAGGCAGAAGCTCTTCCTTGTGAGGGTGCTGAGGCCCTGGCACAGGGTGCCCAGAGAAGCTGTGGCTGCCCCATCCCTGGCAGTGTTCAAGGCCAAGTTGGATGGGGCTTGGAGCAACCTGCTCTAGTGTAAGGTGTCCCTGCCTGTGGCAGGGGGGTGGAGCTGGATGAGCTTTGAGGTCCCTTCCAACCCAAACCAGTCTGGGATTCTACTACCTGCTTTGTCAGCTCATTTAGGATACAGATTACATTGCACTGGAGGCACCCAGACCTTAACTCCTCTAAAGTTTCTGGGCATTTCATGCCCTGACTCCTACATTTCCATCACAGATTTCAAAACGTTTGTGTATTTCCTGCAGTTCAGGGTTGGTAACAGCACAGCAGATGCCAGGAAAGGCCACCAGAGACATCGCAGAAACATTCACAACCCCTCGAACGCTGTCTTGTAACGCCCCTTCTCCAAACCGGAGGGGTTCCACACTGCCACAGCCTTTGTCCCCAGCTGCAGGAGGCCCCGCTCACGCTTGCAGCCCAGGGGCTGCGGGTTCCCCGCCTCTGGGAACGGCGGCTGCCTGCGGGAGGGCGGCGAGGTCCCCGCCGGCTTCCTGAGGGGGGCTCCGGCCTCCCGGCACCCTCGGGCCGTCCGTTGACGTGCAGGGACCGGTCGCTCGGCGGGAGGGTGCCGCGCCATGGGGCGAGAAGCGGCCAACAACGGCACTTGGGCCGCGGGAAGGGCCGCGCCCCGGCCAGAGCCGGGCCCGCTGCAATCGCCGCTGCGGGCTGCGGCCCGACCGCCGTCCATGGAGGCTCATGCAGTGCGAGGCTGGCCGGGGCCTCCAGAGATGGAGCGGGGCTGCAAGGAGTGCTCTGGGGCTGCCTGATGGGAGGATGGAGCCAGGAGGGGGCTGGTCTCTGCTCCCAAGGAAGAAGGGATGGGACAAGAGGAAATGGCCTCAAGCTGCACCAGGGGAGGTTTAGATGGAGATGAGGAACAATTCCTTCCCCAGAGGGTGCTCAGGCATTGGAATAAGCTGCCCAGGGCAGTGCTGGAGTCACCGTCCCTGGAAGTGTTCACACACTGTGTAGATGAGGCTCTCAGTGCCATGGGTTAGTGGTGGCCTTGGCAGTGCTGGGCAATGATTGGATTGGATGAGCTTAAAGGACTTTTCCAAAGTCGTTGATTCTGTGATTTACATCGAGAATTACATCAAGATTACATTTGGGTTTCCAAACGGGCACTAAATCTGTGCTAATGGTAAGATGCAACTGCCAACTTGCTTAAACACTGACACTGTGCGGCAGTATTTGGCTGTCTGGTTGACACAACCTTCTAAGACAATGCCTAATGGGTCACCTTTATCAAAGTGAGTGGAAGCCAGCCACGGTTTTCCAAGTGAGCAAATCCATTATTCTAGAATTCAGAGAAACCACGTTTCTCCTAGAAGAGAAACTTTGGTTCACATAACAAACCCCATAGCTTCAGGTGCTCCAAGTAAGTAAGTATACCAGGTATTTCCTAGTACCTACAAGGTCTCATTATAGCCTCTCAGACTATAACTGTGTCTGATACATGCCAATCAGGATCCATAATGCCACCAGCTCCAAAAAGAAACCTAGAGCTATTAAAAACATATATACACACACACAGGTCTTTTATCCCAGCAGCTATGTGATAGCCAAGTGGATTTCAAAGAATAGGGAATTTCTACTGTCTGTAATAGCTGGATGTGAACTGCAATAATGCCCCAAAACTGAAACATGCACGAGTTCGCATAACAAAAACAAAAAAACCAACAAATAAGCAATCAATTCTGAGACATGGTTTTGATGCATTTGACTGAATGAATGTTCTCCATAGAGCAACATCATGACACTGGTGGAGTATTTAATAACCTGTGTCTTCAGGAAGACAACTTGAGAGAAGACAACAGTCAAGGTGACGTTACTGCAAAAGAGAATTTACTGCAGCTGTCACGCTCCGACTGACAGTTCAAACATAAGGATTTACATTCTTCTGTCACTCTTCTCTTTCCTCTGCCCCTCTTCTCATTCCTTGGCCACTCTTCTAATTCCTTTGCCAATCTCCTCATTCCTCTATCACTCTTCACGTTCCTCTGCCTTTCCTCGAATTCCTCTGCCCCTCTTTGCAATACTCTGCCCATTTTCATATTCCTTGACCCTCTTCACCTTCCTCTGCCCCTCTTCACTTGCCTCTGCCCCTCTTGGCATTCCTCTGCCATTCTTCGCATTCCTCTGCCATTCTTCGCATTCCTCTGCCACTCTTCACCTTTTTCTGCCCCTCTTCACATTCCTCTTCACTCTTCTCGTTCCTCTGCCCCTCTTCAAATTTCTCTGCCAACCTTCTCAATACTTTATCACTCTTCACATTACTGTGCTACTCTTCGCATTCCTCTGCAACTCTCCCCAGTCCTCTGCCCCTCTTCACATTATTCTGTCCCTCCTCTCATTCCCTTTCCCCTCTTCTCATAACTGTGACCCTCTTCTCAATTCTCTCCCCACCTTCATGTTCCGCTGCCCCTCATTCCTCTGACCCTCTTCAAATTCCTCTGGCCCTCTTCTCATTCGTCTGACTCTCTTCACAGTCCTCTACCCCTCTTCTCATTCCTCTGCCACTCTTCAAATTCCTCTGCCACTCTTCACATTATTCCATCCCTTCTCTCATTCCTCTGTCCCTGTTCTCAGTCCTCTGCCACTCTTCTTTTTCCTCTGTCCCTCTTCACATTCTTCTGCCCCTCTTCTTGTTCCTCTGCCCCTCTTCACATTCTTCTGCCCCTCTTCTTGTTCCTCTGCCCCTCTTCTCACTCCTCTGCCCCTCCTCTCAGTCGTCTGCCCCTTGTCTTTTTCCTCTGTCCCTCTTCACATTCTTCTCCTCTTCTTCTCAGTCGTCTTCCCCTGTTCTCGTACCTCTTCCACTCTTCTTGTTCCTCTGCCAATCTTCTCAGTCATCTGCCCCTCTTCTTGTTCCTCTGCCCCTCTTCTCATTCTTCTGCCACTCTTCTCAGTCATCTGCCCCTCTTTTTTTCCTTTGTCCCTCTTCACATTCTTCTGCCCCTCTTCTCGTTCCTCTGCCCCTCATCTCAGTCATCTTCCCCTCTTCTCGTTCTTCTGCCACTCTTCTCAGTCTTCTGCCCCTCTTTTTTCCTCTGTCCCTCTTCACATTCTTCTGCCCATCTTCTCCTTCCTCTGTCCCTCTTCACAGTTCTTTGCCCCCTTCACATTCCTTTGCCCATCTTAATCCTCTGCCACTCTTCTCCTTTCTCAGACCCCATCACAATCTTTTACTCATCTTCACAATCCTCTGCCACTCTTCAAATTCCTCTGCCCTTCTTCACATTATTCCATCCGTTGTTATTCCTCTGCCCCTCTTCTCACTCGTCTGCCCCTCTTCTCATTCTTCTGTCCTTCTTCTTATTCCTCTGCCTGTCTTCTCGTTCCTCTGCCCCTCTTCTCGGTCGTCTGCCCCTTTTTCCTCTGTTCCTCTTCACATTCTTCTCCCCTTCTTCTCAGTCATCTGCCCCTCTTCTCGTTCCTCTGCCCCTCTTCTCAGTCGTCTGCCCCTTGTCTTTTTCCTCTGTTCCTCTTCACATTCTTCTCCCCTTCTTCTCAGTCATCTGCCCCTTGTCTTTTTCCTCTGTTCCTCTGCCACTCTTCTCATTTGTCTGCCCCTCTTCTTTTTCCTCTGTCCCTCTTCACATTCTTCTGCCCCTATTCTCATTCCTCTGCCCCTCTTCTCAGTCGTCTTCCTGTCTTCTCTTTCTTCTACCACTCTTCTCATTCATCTGCCTCTCTTCTTATTCCTCTGCCCCTCTTCTCATTCCTCTGCCCCTGTTCTCGGTCCTCTGCCACTCAGTTGTCTGCCCCTCTTCTTTTTCCTCTGTCCCACTTCACATTCTTCTGCACTCTTCTCGTTCCCCTGTCCCTCTTCACAATCCTTTGCCCCCTTCACATTCCTTTGCCCATCTTAATCCTCTGCCAATCTTCTCCTTTCTCGGACCCCATCACAATCCTCTGCCCCTCTTCACAATCCTCTGCCCCTCTTCACGATCCTCTGCCACTCTTCAAATTCCTCTGCCCTTCTTCACATTATTCCATCCGTTGTTATTCCTCTGCCCCTCTTCTCACTCGTCTGCCCCTCTTCTCATTCTTCTGTCCTTCTTCTTATTCCTCTGCCCGTCTTCTCGTTCCTCTGCCCCTCTTCTCAGTCGTCTGCCCCTTGTCTTTTTCCTCTGTTCTTCTTCACATTCTTCTCTCCATCTTCTCAGTCATCTGCCCCTCTTCTCGTTCCTCTGCCTCTCTTCTCGTTCCTCTGCCCCTCTTCTCAGTTGTCTGCCCCTTGTCTTTTTCCTCTGTTCCTCTTCACATTCTTCTCCCCTTCTTCTCAGTCATCTGCCCCTCTTCTCGTTCCTCTGCCCCTCTTCTCGTTCCTCTGCCACTCTTCTCAGTTGTCTGCCCCTCTTCTTTTTCCTCTGTCCCTCTTCACATTCTTCTGCCCTTATTCTCATTCCTCTGCCTCTCTTCCCAGTCATCTTCCCATCATCTCATTCTTCTACCACTCTTCTCATTCGTCTGCCCCTCTTCTTTTTCCTCTGTCCCTCTTCACGTTCTTCTGCCCCTATTCTCATTCCTCTGCCCCTCTTCTCAGTCGTCTTCCCGTCTTCTCCTTCTTCTACCACTCTTCTCATTCATCTGCCTCTCTTCTTATTCCTCTGCCCCTCTTCTCATTCCTCTGCCCCTGTTCTCGGTCCTCTGCCACTCAGTTGTCTGCCCCTCTTCTTTTTCCTCTGTCCCTCTTCACATTCTTCTGCACTCTTCTCGTTCCCCTGTCCCTCTTCACAATCCTTTGCCCCCTTCACATTCCTTTGCCCATCTTAATCCTCTGCCAATCTTCTCCTTTCTTGGACCCCATCACAATCCTCTGCCCCTCTTCACAATCCTCTGCCCCTCTTCACGATCCTCTGCCACTCTTCAAATTCCTCTGCCCTTCTTCACAGTATTCCATCCGTTGTTATTCCTCTGCCCCTCTTCTCACTCGTCTGCTCCTCTTCTCATTCTTCTGTCCTTCTTCTTATTCCTCTGCCCGTCTTCTCGTCCCTCTGCCCCTCTTCTCAGTCGTCTGCCCCTTGTCTTTTTCCTCTGTTCCTCTTCACATTCTTCTCCCCTTCTTCTCAGTCACCTGCCCCTCTTCTCGTTCCTCTGCCCTTCTTCTCGTTCCTCTGCCACTCTTCTCAGTTGTCTGCCCCTCTTCTTTTTCCTCTGTCCCTCTTCACATTCTTCTGCCCTTATTCTCATTCCTCTGCCTCTCTTCCCAGTCATCTTCCCATAGTCTCATTCTTCTACCACTCTTCTCATTCGTCTGCCCCTCTTCTTTTTCCTCTGTCCCTCTTCACATTCTTCTGCCCCTATTCTCATTCCTCTGCCCCTCTTCTCAGTCATCTTCCCGTCTTCTCCTTCTTCTACCACTCTTCTCATTCATCTGCCTCTCTTCTTATTCCTCTGCCCCTCTTCTCATTCCTCTGCCCCTGTTCTCGGTCCTCTGCCACTCAGTTGTCTGCCCCTCTTCTTTTTCCTCTGTCCCTCTTCACATTCTTCTGCACTCTTCTCGTTCCCCTGTCCCTCTTCACAGTCCTTTGCCCCCTTCACATTCCTTTGCCCATCTTAATCCTCTGCCAATCTTCTCCTTTCTCGGACCCCATCACAATCTTTTACTCGTCTTCACAATGCTCCTCTGCCCCTCTCCACAATCCTCTGCCCCTCTTCAAATTTCTCTGCCCTTCTTCACGTTATTCTATCCGTTCTCTTATTCCTCTGCCCCTCTTCTCACTTGTCTGCCCCTCTTCTAACTTGTCTACTCCTCTTCTCATTTTTCTGCCCCTCTTCAAATTCCTGTGCCCCTCTTCTCATTCCTCTGCCCCTGTTCTCAGTCCTCTGCCACTCTTCTTAGTCATCTGCCCCTCTTCTTTTTCCTCTGTCCCTCTTCATTCTTCTGCCCCTCTTCTCGTTCCTCTGCCCCTCTTCTCAGTCGTCTTCCCCTCTTTTCGTTCTTCTGCCAGTCTTCTCATTCGCCTGCCCCTCTTCTTTTTCCTCTGTCCCTCTTCACATTCTTCTGCCCCTCTTCTTTTTTCTCTGCCCCACTTGACAGTCCTCTGCCCCCTTCACATTCCTGTGCCCCTCTTCACATTTCTTTGCCAAACTTCTCATTCCTCTGCCACTTCTCATATTCTTATACCCCTTTTCACATTCCTCTGACCCTCTTCTCATTCCTCTGCCCCTCTTCACAATCCTCTACCCCTCTTCTCATTCTTCTGCCATTCTTCAATATTTTCTGCCACTCCACAATCACTCACCCATCCTCATAATCCTCTTACCCATTTCACAATCCTCTGCCCCTCTTCATGATTCTCTCCTCCTCTTCACATTCCTCTGACACGCTACACAATCTTATGCCACACTTCACATTCCTCTGGCCCTCTTCTCATTCCTCTGCCACTCTTCTCCTTCCTCTGCCCCCTTCACATTCCTGTGCCTCTCTTCACATTTCTTTGCCAATCTTCTCATTCCCCTGCCACTTTTCACATTCCTCTGACCCTCTTCATATTCTTCTTCCCCTCTTCTCATTCTTCTGCTAGTTTTCACAGTTTTCTGCCACCACAATCCCTTGCCCATCCTCATAATCCTTTTACCCTTTTCACAATCTTCTGCCCCTCTTCATTATCCTCTGCCCCTCTTCACATTCTGCACAATCCTCTGCCACATTTCACATTCCTTTGCCCATCTTAATCCTCTGCCACTCTTCAAATTCCTCTGCCTCTCTTTACATTATTCCATCTCTTCTCTCATTCCTCTGCCCCTCTTCTCGTTCCTCTGCCTCTCTTCACAATCCTCTGCCCCCTTCACATTTCTTTGCCAATCTTCTCATTCCTCTGTCCCTCTTCTCATTCCTCTTCCCCTCTTCTTGTTCCTCTGCACTCTTCTTAGTTGTCTGCTCCTCTTCTTCTAACCCTCTTCTCATTCCCCTGCCCCTCTTCTCCTTCCTTTGCTACTCTTTTCAGTTGTCTGCTCCTCTTCTTGTTCCTCTGCCCCTCTTCTCGTTCCTTTGCCACTCTTCTCGTTCTTTTGCCTCTCTTTATGTTCCTCTGCCTCTCTTCATGTTCCTCTGCCTCTCTTCACAATCCTTTGTTCCTCCTCTCATTCCTCTGCCCCTCTTCACATTTCTCTGTGCCTCTTCTCATTTTTCTGTCTCTCTTCACAAGCCAGAACCCCCAGGGAAATGGAGCCAAGGGAAGAGCAGAGCCCCTCCCACTCCAAGCTTTCACTGGACAGTTGTGCCAGGGAGAGCCAAAGCACAGTTGTGCTTCAAGGTGCGAGATCACCAACAAGAACCAAGCCCAAAGGGGAGCCCTGACAAGGGGCTGTGCTCAGTGGTACAGAGAACAAGCATCTACTCCCAGGGCCACCCTGGGAGTCTAAAAAGCTTCCTC